CATGGAGTGAATGGTATTCTTCTGGTTTGATTAAATCCCAGGCTGCTGTGTTTACTCTGAGAGGTGATCTCCCTTTGGGATGCTGAGCGCTGCGAGGCAAAGATAACTGGTTCTTATCTCCATCTGCTCGGTCAGGTATGAGAGCTCGTGGCCCGGGGCAACACAAACAGGGGTGTCAGCGCTATGGGCCTCACAAGGACACCAGTAAACTGAATTGGTCCTCCCTTTAACTCCGCGCTGTGTATTTTAAATATGTATATTATCCATTTTTGCAGACAGGTCAGTGGCCAGATCGCAGTGTGGTGGCGTGTCGTTGTCATGCCTGTTTTGAATCAAAATCAGAGAGGACGGGGGATTAAAAACCAGGTGAGTTGGGATTTAAGCAGAGCCTTTGCTCGCTCTACCCCCCGTCGGAAACTCTGCTGCGAGTTCTGCCCAGTCTATATGCACAAACAGCAGGATACAAACACTGGAAACCCAGCCAACTGTGTCAGCCGAAGCACTCAGATTCAGAGGAAGAGAGAGAAAGAGAGTATGTGAGAGGTGTGCAGGTGATACTACACTTTAAACACTAGGATGCCGAGTTATAACTTCAAGGTTTGTTTAACTGTATACGCAGTTATTTGAAATAACAATAAAACATCTTAAATATCAGGTAACCCTCCTTTGCTTCAATTCAGATCAAAGACTGCTTATTGATATGACCATGATTGACTGAACAGGGGTGTGACATTTTATCCCATTTTAACAAACCCAGGTTTGCCCTGCCATTTGATCCAGACTGAAATATCTAAACTACTTTGGATGTATTCATATGACTTTTGTGACAATTTTTCTATTTTTAGCGACTCAATGGATTGGCAAAAATGATTCATGCTTCCCAGACACTGATGCTCCTGACCATTGTTATGTTCTGATTATCTTCCGTGCCACTATGAGGTTAATATTCAGGGCTTGGATTGAAATATTGCCATTTAATTAATCATTTGAATGCAGACCATTGACTTTGCTTGTCATTATTATTTTAGACAAATTCTGCGTTGAAATACCTTGATATATAGTCCATCGCTATATGATTCCATCTGACAACTTTGGTGCTGCCCATTTCTGCATTTCAGAGATCTTGGTACTCTTAACTATGCTTCAAATTTTATTCTATTTTTGTTTTTTTAATGATAGTTTTCCCTATCCGTTTCAATCAAATTTTCTTGCTTAAGGTAATTTTTTATCACCTTGTTGTTGAAATGTGCTTTAGAAATAAAATAGCAAATTGCCAGGATGATAATATACAATAATAAATCATCATATTTAATTATCACCCTATGCTAAAGACCTGCGTTGCAACATTTCAACACTTGACTCATAGCAATGCTGTAATAAAATACGCCTACAACAACATACAGCATTTTCACGCTCAATCTCAATGCATGAAGAAAACCAGAAAGTGTGTAAGAGGAGTTGGAACACGTGCAGTGCGACAGCTTTCATTGCCTCACAGCTCCCTTTCTTTTAGCACCCAGCAATAATCACTGACTTGTGCTTTTCCTCTGGTACCTGTCAGCTCTTCCCACCACCCAACACGGCTGATCAGACCCACCTGCAACACACTGTGGTACGTTCTTATCAGGAACCTGAACAACAATCAGCTCCCTGAACGAAAAAAAGCTCCATGCAGCCGTGGTGTTAGAGGAGCAGGAATGTGGCTGATTGTATTCCTTAGACAATATATGAAGAGACGTAAAGTTCAACCTGCTATAAGTGTATACGCCTGATTCAGTTGCTCCCTGACTCATTATGTGTGTACCCAGTAGGGCAGGAATCCAGTCCTGAATTAATAGGTGGCGGGCCGTGCAGCCATGTTTATGGAGCTTCAAATCTATTGTTAGTTCTGCCACCTAGAGAGGACTCATTCTGCAGCGGCCTGGCTCATCGGGTTCCGTCCTGTCATGTCTGATTCTGCAGATGAGCCCTGACATCCTCGAGGACATACAGGAATGATTTGACGTCATCGACGACAACCGACACAGAAAAAGCTCCCCACCTTGTGCTGCAGAGGAGGTGTATTTCGGTCAGAGCGCCTCGTGGTGTCATAGACGTCACAGTCTCAGGGGTGTGAACTGTGAGCAGAGTGAAGTTCTCTAACTTACTGTCAGAACATCCAAACTGACGTAGCCACATTGAGGGACCCGAACATCTGGCAGAAGCGGCGCCGAAACCCACTGCGATGAAACATTGGACGCGCTAAAATGAATTTAAACCCACATCAACACTTCTTCCTCATTCGGCAAATATATAACTAACACGGATATAAAATAGCACACATGCTATTATTAAAAGGTTTGGATGACAGGTGTGACAGATTCTACCAAGAAACCAATTTTGCCAATAATTACTTCTACAGTTAATGAAAGTATTCGAGATAAACTGCAGACACACTTGTCGATCTGGATGAGAGGAGAATACAACATGAAGAAGTAAGTGTTCGGTTGGAATATTGATGGTAAAGTTCGTAATGATTTTAACAATACTGTCATCTGTGGATATACATCTTAACCACTTGATTACTGACAGGCCATTAAAGCGCCTCCCATTTCAAAATATCCAATTAAAGGCTCCACAACAACTACCGATAACTGATAAGCAACCGATTTGGAAGCTTTAGCCCCTCAGCTTCATTAGGAGGCTGTTGAGCGAAAAGAGAAAATTCAGCACGGACGACATCAAAGTGCCCACTCTGCAAAATGAGTAACAAATTCCTTATTAGATATGCACCAATCTCCTAGGATACAGCCGACATACACAGTGATCACCCAGAAAATCTGTTGTCTGTATAATGCTCTTGAATAATGCTCCTCTCAATTACTACTCGCCAGAAGGGCAGGTGTTGGTTTGCACCAGCGAGATGTAAAAGGAACTACTTTATAGTCACTGTTTATCTCATCGTTATTAGCGAGTGAGTTCTAATATGGATCATATTCCTTAAGGTTTTTTAGCTGACTCGTATTTGTTCGGTACACACAGTATTGCTTATCTTCCCTGCGAATATCTAACGCGGATGATGGTGAAGTAGGTTGTTAAGACGATACATTCGTGATACTCATTCTAACACTTTATTGAGTTTAAGGAACCTTTTGATTAAGTTCTCACCCGGTCCCTACGTATATGTTTGACCTGTAACCCCTCCGTCGAGTGAGCTCGTCCTTACATACCGATTAGGTCCCTAATGCCCTTGAGGGATGACTGGTACCTCTATGTATCAAGATAAGGGCACTCACCGGCAGGTTTGGAAGCGGTGTTCTTGTCATTCGGCCCCTTGGAAGAGGCCCCTCAGTGGAAAGGAATCCCCCGGAAACAAATGGTCTTTTGTTCCCCAAAAAGGAGAATTTTTATTTATATAAAAAAGCGAAAACGTTTACAAAAATTGAATAGAAAACAATAAAAGCCTAAAGGTTAAAAAAGCTAGATTCGTGTGTGAGCAAGAAACAAGAAGTAAGCGCGCTTTGCGTTAAAACATGTTGGCTTATACTTATACGGACTATACTTTTTTTTGCAGAAGCAATGTGCGTCACCGGGGTTTATCTTGCGTCGATCACAGTTTCGGTTCGGAAACTCGATCAAAGCAGGTTTGTGTGTTATTTGCGCTACTAAGCGCCTTTTAAGAAGACATTTTCACACCTTAAAGCAGGATCGTGAAACGGCTTCACCCCAGTGAGCACAAGACGTAATTTCAACGTTGAAATCTGGTTGAAATGAGGTCTGAACGTCTCAGACCTCATTTCAACCGTCTAAAAATGGGATGAAACATCAACGTGCCAGAAAATGTCAATTTGTTGATAAATGTGAGCATTTTTTGGTTGAAAAGACGTTTAAAAGACGTCGATGCCCGATGTTGAAAAGACGTTGCAAAACGGTTCAAAAGTGAAAGTTGTTTCAACGTCTATTCGTAGTCGTCTATCCCAGTGAGCACAAGACGCAATTTTAACGTTGAAATATGGTTGAAATCGGGTTGAAATGAGGTCTAAACGTCTAAGACCTCATTTCAACGTCTTTTCAACCGGCTAAAAATGGGATGAAACATCAACGTGCCAGAAAACGTCAATTTGTTGATAAATGTGTCTCAATGTGATCTCAATGTGAAATGCAATAACATTTATGGGTACAGCAACAACCTAACGCATTAGTAACACCAAACACACGAAAAATATTCTGGGATGTTTACTTTTGGTCCAGGTCATCATGCTGCACGCTAGCATGCTGCAAGCTAGCATGCTAACTAGCAAACTACCTGCGCTAACGCTAACTAGCTTAACAAAAAGGGCCGTCTTTCCCGTATCGGGTGGGCAGCACAAGTAAAACACCCGGTTATAGTTCCAGGTGTTCTTCATCCAAACACTCCCGTACTTACAGAGTAGTGGAGCCGGTAGTCGTGGTTCTATCAGCCCGTTCATGTCGCTCCGCTGCCGTAACTTCGCCTCGTCCGCTCGGAGCTCTGCAGGCGTCTAAGAACTCGCGCATGCGCGTTACAGATGTGAGCGGAGTCACGTGTTTACAAGTAATGTTTGAACCTGCCCGCATTATTATGTCTTAAACGCATCTTATTAACAGCACGCAGTCCGTAGTTTCATATTTATGACGTTTTAAGTGAAATATTAAATACGTTGAAATCACGTCTTCGCGTAGACCAAATTTCGCCGACCGGTTCATTAATTATTATGAAAATCTTAACGTTAATATCGTCTATCTTTCAACCTTACGTTACATCATGACACATTTGTCAACAAATTGACGTTTTCTGGCACGTTGATGTTTTATCCCATTTTTAGACGGTTGAAAAGACGTTGAAATGAGGTCTTAGACGTTCAGACCTCATTTCAACCCGATTTCAACCATATTTCAACGTTGAAGTTACGTCTTGTGCTCACTGGGTGACGTCAGGAGAATTCACGTTTCATTCCAGAAGCAAGAAAGTAAGTTATTTATAACCAATAGCACCTTCGGGTTGTGATCCTTGAGTGCGCAGTGAGCGGAATACTCCCCATTGGACTGATGTGGTGAGCCTCCATAACAAAAGCGGCACCGCTCGAGTCCTCAAAGGTTTCGGCGCCCTGTGCACTCAACTAGGTCGCTTCAGTCGCGGTTGAAAAAATAGGGATATTGCGAGAAGAACTGCAAGAAACTTTGGTTCTGAATCATTCATTTGCCCACGATTTTCTTCCCCCTTTACACGCGGGAAAGCGCTGGATACTTTGAGCATGAGAAACCTCTCCCGTGACCAGGTAAGACAATAAGCAGACGTTAGATTGTCCTGCAAAATTATACAAACTATAAAATGATTGAAAATGAAAGGTGATTAATTCAACTGTATGTCGTTTCGCGTCGCTGCTTCGTTCGTCTTTGAGGAGACTCGAAAATAATGCGGTTCGCCACTCTCACTCACACACTCTCAACGTGAGGTGTATGCACACTATTGAATACAATTTGAACAAAAATCTATAAAATAAACACAATCTCAGAGGCGGGATTTAACGGGGGAAGTCGACAAACCAAAGGCATTGTAATGCATACCGTTTGTTAAGTTATCCCAAATGAGAACCACGGACAGTGACTCCTCCGCGTCATGTCACCTGTCGGACCCCATTGGGTTTGACACTATTTCATTTCATTTTTTTTGTTGGTATTATTTAAATAAATCTCGTTGTCGTCGAATATCTACTGATATTCTTCCTCTTTTTTAAAGACGATCACGCCTGATGTTTTTGCGCACTCGAACGAACGATGCTTTTGTTCGACGCTCTTCGTCCCTTTCACAGAAAAGACAAACGTGAGCTCCCGTAACAGGATAAACTTTGATTTTTAATATCAAATCATCCATCGTTTAAGAATCTAACAGGTGCTGTAACCATGCTGTCTCGTGCGTGGTATTTTTTGGGCATGGCCGTGATCAGTTTCCACTCTAGACAACAACAACAAAAACATTTTTACACATTACTGTCATTTTTATATAAAGCATATATATTTACTATATCGAAAATGTGGAGCTGTAAGTTACGTTTTTAACGGTATCGTTGTGAAGGAGCGCCACCTGCTGGTGTTGATTTAGCAACAGAGAGAAACCGACAACATGAGTGTTAACTACATCAATGTTTTCTTCGAAGGGCAGTGAGCTGTAAATTCCACACAATCTGCGACTGGCTGGGAGATGGCAGATATACTGGAGCTGCGGACGGATGGAAATTCACTCCTGAAGGCGGTGTGGCTCAGACGCTTGAGACTCACCAGGCTCCTGTTGGAAGGAGGAGCGTATATTAATGAGAGCAACGAACGTGGAGAGACACCACTCATGGTGGCCTGCATGTCCACACACACCGACCAGCAGAGCGTGAGCAAGTCGAAGCTGGTGAAATACCTGCTGGACAACCAGGCAGACCCCAACATACAGGACAAAGCCGGTAAGACCGCTCTAATGCAAGCCTGCATTCACAAGTCTGGACATGAGGTGGTGGACCACCTGCTGAGCAACGGAGCTGATCCCAGTCTGGAGGACAGGAGCGGGGCCTCAGCGCTGGTCTATGCCATCAACGCAGATAACAAGGAGACGCTCAAACTGCTCTTGGACGCCTGCAAAGCGAAAGGCAAGGAGGTAATCATAATCACCACGGACAAGTTACCCTCTGGCACCAAAACGACCAAACAGTACCTAAATGTCCCCCCATCACCAGAGCTGGATGCATACTGCACCTCTCCGTCTGACATCAATGTCACTGCGTCGCCCACACCTGAGCAAGAGCAGCAAAACACAGTTTTCAGTTTCCAGACCAAGCTGAAAACCTCCAATTCAGCTGCTAAGCTCGCCAACGGGCTGACCTCTCCGGCACGCTGGCTGGCGAACCCCAAACGCGCCCGTTTGCCTCAGCTGAAGAGGCTGCAGTCAGAGCCCTGGGGCCTGATTGCTCCCTCAGTCCTGGCGGCCGCGCCTACGAGGAGAGTAAAAAAGCCAGCTCAGAAGACAACGTCGCAGCAGGGGTTAACGGACTCTGTCTGAATAAGAGGTCAGCTTTATCTAGACAGAGCAGTGTGGACGGAAAGGACAGTTTTTTTCCGCTGGTGCCTGAACAACCCTGCAAAATCACAACCTCAATATCAGTTCCTCCAACGTCCAAAGCCTCATATGAGAGATCTCCAGGCCAGCACCAGCCGCTGGTGCGACGCAGCACTGTGCCCACGGAGCAGGAGGGCAGCAGTGGCACCGCTGGACATGCCAGTCTGAGAGACACGGTGCACAGGAGACACCTGGAGACCGATCACTATGACTCGGACTCCCAGCTCTACTCAGGCTCCGCCACGCTAGACTCCCCTAAGGTCCCGGTGGAACGAAGGAAACTGAACACTTCTCCGCTTGCGATGCTAACCAGCTCCAGAGAGTCTCTAGACAGCAACGGCAGCACGTCCTCGCCCAGCACGGCACACAGACGCGCAACGGGCCTCCTGGAGAGGAGGGGCTCGGGCACGCTGTTGCTGGACCACATCTCCCACACCAGGCCCGGCGATCTGCCCCCTCTCAACTTCAACCCAAACCCGCCCATCCCTGACATTGGGGCTAGTAGCAAGCCTTCCTCACCCCTAGCCACGGGTATCAGATCTATAGCTCCAGTAGCACCGAACACACCAAAGAGAGGTGGCCTCAAGTCCAAGAAAAAACTTGTGAGAAGGCACTCTATGCAAGTGGAGCAGATGAAGCAGCTTTCTGATTTTGAAGCTGAGGGTAGCACACACACACACAAGATCCTCCTCAGTGGCCGGTGCAAATCATAATTAATTGACATAAAGTAAAAACGTGGATCCGGAACGAAAGCTCAGAATAAGATATGAACCAAGGCCATGAACAGGAGTCCTTTGCTTTGCAGCGTCTATGAGATCGAGTTGACCGCTCTCCCTTCTCAGTGCGCAGCTGCAAAGCAACATTTTGTATCATGCTGCTCTTTGCACATCAGGGTCAAATACAGGACACGGCCTTAGCACAAAAAAATGTTATAATATATCTTACCACTACATGCATCTCACACTGTCTAAAATGAAGATGTAATGCGTAGGGAACACACAGGGTCCATTTGTAGCCAGCAGGCCACTTGGGTGCACATTGTGCAAATGTAATTAGAACCGTTAATGGATTTTTTTATTTTAGAAAACGTGATGCACTTGTCTGAGATGTAGCTTTGAGTAAGATGAGATTTGACTGTTTGTAGCAAATTTGTACAAAGTGCCTTTAAGATAAAGAAACAAATAACAAAAAAAAACAGTGGACAGATACATTTAATGCAATAGGAGCATTTTTAATGTAACCAAAATGTGTTTTGTTTCAATGTTGTTGGACTCACATGAAACAAACTGAATATACGTGATGTGAATGAATGAAAAATATGACCTAACAAAGAGGTAAAATGATGGGCCATGTATAACAGCACTTTATTGCCCAATAGAAAAGAAAATGAAAATGTTGCTATCAACAGTGTTACAAAAACCTTCAAAGCACATGTAATTCTACACGTAATGTCTCTAACAAAGAATGGCATTGGAGCCCTTAGTCAACACAGGCATTGGTGAAACTTGTCAGTAGAAATGTCATTTCACGCTAATGGCAATCGAAACTGAAGATCATACCGCTTCCATGTAACTTAGCTGTGAAGCATTGCTACTGTTTGAGAAAAATCCATAGTATTTTTGCAATTAGTTTGTTGTATATTCGGAATAAATGTCTATCCCTTATGACGTTCTGTCTATTTACTCATTTGTCACATTGAGTAGGAGCTCAGCTGTCAGCAGCAACACAGATGCTCATTAAAAAGAGCACGGGTCCTTCCCCGGGCAGGCCGATGGTACTATGGAGATGATGACGAACATCATCCATGTCACTGTGATTATATCAGACCGACCATAGAGGCACTCAGATCCCACAGCTTCTTGGCAGCTTCATCATCCAGACCCTGTGGAGCAGCGGATTTAGGGGCGCAAGTCGCTGCAATCAGAGCAGAATTGAGTCTTAAACATGTGGCTCCATCCGTTACAACACTGCTAATTTAGTTACAAGTATGAGTTTTCATTCAGGATACAATGATGAATCCGGATGGAAATCACAGGGTCACTAATCATACAGGACTGGATCCTGGACAGAATACTGCAGTACTAGAAGGGTATTCTGTACATCATTATGACAGGAATTGACTATTTAGAGGGATATTTATCACGTTTTCTTACCTTGCAGCTTGTTAACCAACTCTCGTGTAAAGAGAACATTAGCTAGTTTACTTTGTGAATAGCTTGCTAGACAGCTGCATTTTTTTATTTTTTATTATTTCAAATTGAATTAGATATTGACAAAATATGAAACCAGTATAAGTTGCTAACCCCTTCTAGCCAGGTCAACGGCTGTTTCTTTGCCAATCCCAGTGTTGCCTCCGGTGATCAAGACGGTCTTTCCCTCCAGCGAGGCTTTGCTGCGGCACATTCCACCTGCCGACCATTTCTACACACCAAATAACACTGCTCCTGTAAGAGGGAACACACAACATTCATCTTCACCCTTAAAGATTAAACACGTTCAACTTTCAATTTTTTACCATATCTCTGCCTTAAAACTGGAACTGGAAACTACTTTGTTAATCAATTTATTGTTTTAGGCGTTCAAGAAAAAATGCTGAATATTTGCTTGGAGAAAATCAGTGAAGTTACAATTTGCTATTTTCTGTTTCTGTTTCGTTTTCTTTCTTACTTAGTTACAGTAAGTGGAGTTCCTGAAAAACAATCTATTGTAATTGGTTAATTTAGAGGTTAAGATTGTTTTAAAGTCAACTTCTAAGACTCCTTAGAAGGTGCTCAAACTTTGTTTTGTCTGATTGTAAATTGCATTTGAATTGTCTTGTTGTTGTTTTACGCTGTTTTGCTGTCTCCGGGATCCCTTTCTTAAATAGGACCCCAATGGACATTTTAGCTTTATTGTGTGTTAATCCCTGACGACATCATTGTATATCAGGACAGATCAAAAAAATGGGTCTACAGCTATCCCTCTATTCATATTATGGACTAGTGAGTATAAGTAGTCATTTTGAAGCTGTGCTTTAATGATGTTACACACGAATGAAACAAGGAGTAAAAAAAATTTCCAGCATTTTTGATGGAGACGCGTTTGAGAATGTGAATTTGCATTGTCTGAGCATGCAGCCTCACTTATTCTAAAATCATCAAGTAAACTACCTCACTAATCAACTCAGTTGTTTTATGTGACAGAGACGAGATCGGAGACGCTCCTGTCCAAAACTATTCACCCGTCACTGTCACGCAGCAATGGTTTTAGGTCTTCGCTGTGAAGGTCCGCATCGTCCTGCGAACCCTCCTCACACCGCTTCTGCAGCATAAAAGTATTTCTGTTGGTTAACTGTCTGTTTCGTGTGTCCCGTGTCAACAGTTGACTTTAAATAGCCACGTTGCTTTCCTATTGGCAACTTCTGACGCTATACTGGATAATAATAATAATAATGATGATGATAATTAATACTTTTCTAAATAAATATAAATAACAACAATTTAAATGGCAGTGAAATAAAAAGTATTTCAAATGGCAAGCAAAATTAAAATAAAATACTAATTGAAATACAATAACGTAAAAACGGGAATATATAGTAAGTAATAACAGCCACATCAGTATCATCTTAATGACCAGAATTGTGTAAGATGAGCTGAAGTGAATGCCTGTTTTTTAAAGAATATGTTAAATAAAGGGGATGCTGAAATGATGAGTTTTGTCATTTTTAAAGTATCAATCGATTTTGCTGCCCTCCTGATCCCAAATATGGGATCAATAACTACATAAATGTTATTACATATTAAAGGTTGTAATAAGGGGCAACGCATTAAGGATTGTAGTAAATAAATATATCTAAAACCAACTCAAAGCCTGCAATGGTGATGATATTGTAGTGACCCTGTTCAGCAGTGGGTTCTGCCAGTTTCACGTCAGTCCCCGCACGCTGGCCAATCAGGGGGAGTTGCGGGTCGTGCTCGACAGAGGGTGGCCAGTGATTGGGGGAGACGGTGGGAGGCGGGTGCTCCCGTGTTTTTGGGGGAGCTAGTCAAGTTTGCTAGCGGAATCCGAGGTTGATGTTATTGCCGACTGCAAGTTAGAGTGAGCGTTCCGATAGCGTGGGGTTTTGTATGTCTGCTGCTGGAGAACTACAATAAAGGATTGTTACCCACACGTCCCTTCGCCTGCGTGTGCTGAGTGACGCACTACACCCCGACGCTACAATATTTTAACAGTAGGTGACTGATTATGATAATGATGGCAGAGGTCCAAATGTCATGTTACTTGTCACACCTTGCATTGCACGTTAACAGCTTGTGTTGGGTTTGAAACTGTTTTATTTAATAATATTATGCTTTCAGTAAAGAATGCTTAAGTGTGTGGTAGCCCCTGCTTTGAGACATATATTTATATGGGGATAATTACGTTTGCGTTGTAGTTGCTAGATGAACAAATCCTTAATCTGAAATCAAATGTGCAGAAATCCTCCAGCAGAAGTCAGTGTTGGCTCACCATCTCGTTCTCAGGTCCTTCTAAAAGAGGCCAGTAGATGGAGCACATACATCACGGACCAGGACTATGTTTAATTCTTTTATATCCATGGATACAGAACAAGTAGAAATACTGGGGAAGTAGTTTCTAAAGCATCAAATAATATCCTAAACTCCTTTGAGCAGATTAAGATGTCTCTGTTGCTGTGCAATTAGACAAAAGAGAAAAAGCAGCTGCAATTTGACAGTAAAAATAGTATTAAAGCTTCAGATCTCAATTAAATTTTGATTACAGCTGCAGCTGAGCAACTAACTTCAAACACATAATTTAGTTTCTTGCTTATTGATGGGTTGTAATGTGGCAGCTCAATAAGTCATTGTTTCTTCTTAAATTTGAAGCCCATTATAGGCGAGTCCACCATTATGAGTCTGGACGAGGACTTAATAAATAGCTTTGACCTTGGAGTTTACAGGGTGACATCTGAGAGTGCAAGTGAAGGTGGGCAGCATGTGTACAGTGTTTATATACCAAAAGGTCAAATGTTCATGTCGAAACTCAAAAGATTATGTCATTGTGCAGCCAAGTCAACCTGATTTACGGTCCTTCATTACATGTGCAACAAAAAACTGCATTTCAAGGACACGAGCATCTGACTTTTCCATTATATAATAAACACTTATTTGAAGATTTTTTATACAACTTGAGACAGTTTGGTTTGTAGAAATCTTTATCTGATATTGCATTCCTTACTTTTGTAAATGCAGGGCCCCAATGTTCTCAAACAAAGCAATGTTCACAAACAAAGAACACTCTAGAGGTGACCTGCAGGATGTCTCTTTGGCTGGCTCGCCAACAAGGCCGTCATGTGACTGCACTTTCCAATCCCTCTCCCAGTATGGTAAACCTTCCCGTGCTAAAATTAGAGGGCCCTCTGACGACCCTTTTCAGAACGTGACTATTCGGGACCCATCCTGCGAATGATCCGGGATGTCAAAAAAACCCTTGTGCCGCTCCCCTAGAGGAAGTTGCTGGGCTTTTCTTGCTAATGAAACAAATCCTGTGAGCTTATGCTATTTTTCCCAACAAGAAAATATTGCTCTGGGAAAATATCTGTATCATTTTCCCGGTTCTTATCTGAATGCATTATATGTTTGTAGTTTCTCTGTAGTTTATCTACAAACCTTTTTGTCAAAGCTCAATAGAAATTACACATATATTACATTACATTGTTGCACATTGTGCATCTCTCTATTGTCTGG